CTGTCCCTCAGCTCTTCAGCTCAAGGCTAGCGCTCTACCACTTGAGCCACAGCACCACTTTCAGCTTTTTTCTGTTTGCTTATGTGATGCTGAGGAATCGAATCCAGGGCCTCAGGCATGCAAGGCAAGTGCTCTACCACTGAGCCACCTTCCCAGCCCTGCTCTTAGGATAGTTCTTGTCCTGTCCTCAGCCCTTGGTCCATACCCATCACCCACTTGCCCCTTGCCTCACTTCCAAAAAGGAGTTGCTGTGAACACACGGTAAAAAAAGTTAGCATCTCTTGGGCAGAAAGTATAATTTATGTAGAAGCTCTCTCATCGTTTATTCACCAAATGTCATTTGAAATACTATCCTGGGCCAAATATAGAGCACCTAATTTCACAGCTAGATATGTAATGGCTTTCAACATTCTTTTATAGGATCAGTATGGAAAGTTTAATAAAGTACCAGAGTGGCAAAGACTAGCTGGAAAAGCTGCTAAAGAAGTTGAAAAATTTGCCAAAGAAAAAGTGGATCTCGTGTTGATGCACTGGAGAGATAGGATGGGCATTGCTCAGAAAGAGGTAAAAAAGAGTGTCTGCTTCCTGCCTTCAGCCATTTCCGCATGTCATGTGTCTGACTACTTGTTGCTCTTCACAGATTTCTCAGGGAATACTTGAAGCCCCTGATCATGTTGTAATGTAACATATTACAGATATTTCTGTTACATACCTCTATGTACACAAGTACATACATATCTCACATTGTGAGCCAATGTTGATGCCAAACATGCCGCCTAGGAAGATCTTTGTGATGATTTTTATTTGGGCCTGGTTTCTGTTTTTAACCCTAATTTCTTTAGGGTGCAGTGGATTGTCTTTGTGTCTGTTTTGTTCCTAGCAATACTGCCATCCAAGTACAGAAGGATCTTGTGCTTTAATCTGACAACTGTGGTCAAGACCAGCTGGCTTGTTTTTGCAGTCTGATGCATTTCTTACATAATCTGCACATTAATTTAAGTCTTTCCTTTATATCTGCAGCTCTCTGTCGGATCAGGGATGATCATCATTGGCTACTGTGTAAAATGGGTGTTATTTCCTATGTGTTTCACTTTGGGAATGTTTAGCCAGTTATGACTCTTGCCCTCTTCTTCAGTGTGTACAGTTGATGCGGAGGGGTGTTGGGTTATTCTTTTTCTCTATGGCATTTTTGTTTTCTCAACATTAGATGACAGCCAGTCTTTTGTCTTGGACAGTAGGGAGTTAGTTATTTCATCTGTACTTTCTCTTTTTGGTGTTTTGTAGGAGTTGAATAAATAGTGATATTTTGCATTTGATATCTTTTTATGACTGTCTTAGCTGCCTGCATGCAAACGTTTGAAACGAGTCACTGGTGTGGACTTACAAATTGTACTAGCGATCACTAACCTTACAAGATTCAATGTTTGTTTACAGGAGTTCTGGGCTATATTAAAAATATTCTATAGGAAGTGGTGCTGTAGCTCAAGTGGTAGAGCGCTTGCCTTGAGCTGAACAGCTGAGGGACAGTGCCGAGGCCCAGAGTTCAAGCCCCATGACCGTCCAAAAAAAAACCCCCCAAAAAACAAAAAAAAAAAGACTTAGAGAATAGGGCTGGAAAGGTGGCTCAGTGGTAGAGTGATTGTCTTGCATGCATGAGGCCCTGGATTCAATTCCTCAGCACCACATAAGCAGAAAAAGCTGGAAGTGGCACTTTGGCTCACTAGCCTTGAGCTGAAGAGCTGAGGGACAGCGCCTAGGCCTAGAGTTCAGACCCCACAGCCTCTCCCCCCCCCCAAAAAAAAATTCTATAACTCTAGAAAAATGTGTGCTGGCAAATTACTCTCTCCGGTAAAATCCAGTGTAGTCATTTTTTTCCCCTATAGTCAACACTTCAGTTGTTTTTTGTTTCTGTCAAATTTTGATGAAAGTAATGTTTCTTCTTTTTTTTAATTTCCTTTTTCAGAATATCAGTCAGAAGCCAGTAGTTCTTCGGAAGAGACGACAAAGAATAAAAATAGAGTCAAATTGGGATCTCTTCTATTATAGGTAATGTTTTAACAACATAATTTAAACGTGATTCTGTCATTATAGGAGGAGCAGCAGATTTTCTTTCTCTGGAAACAATACTTTATGGTATTTTTATACTGTCAAGTTCAGTGTGTATAAAAGTTCAGATTGGTTTGCTTAGTAGAGATGCTTCTATAAAATGAAGGCTTTTTTATATGTTGATGAGTTTAGTAAAACTAAGGATTTTATTAAGGCATAGAGATAGTATCCAAAGACAGTTCGTTGTGGCTTACAAAGAATTACATACTAACAACTTAATGGACACTGAGTCTAAAAAGAGGAGAAGGATGCAAATATAAGGCTAGTTCACCTCAGATACCTTCCCAGCCCTCGTTCTCCTTATCGTCCCCCGATGGACGCACTAACTTCAAGCTTCCCAGTCTCGAAGTTGACTGAGGCTGATTGTGCCACAGGCTGATTGTGCCTCGGTTGGTAAAGGGAAATACTTAGTTTTGCAGATTTTCTGCGCTGCTTTTTAGCATAAGTACCGTGTAGCCAGCATTTCCTTAAGTGTCCCCTTGAGGTTTCTTCCCTCAGAAATTCTTAGGAGTGTTGGCCTGTAGAACCTCCGTGAAACTGAAATGAGACTTTGTAGGAGGATTCCTGGCTGGAGCCAGCCCGTGCATCCCCAGCTTTATTGGAATAGTTATTCTACAAGTGTAAGAAAGACAGTTTGAAAATGCTGTATCATAGCCTGCTATAGTTTGACAGTATTGTGTTTTGTCTGTAAGGTTCAAATTCCTAAAGTCCAAAAGTCCTGTCCCCAATCTGAAACTTACTATCTGACAATACAATTGTTTTCTTACTCGAATTTAGAGTAGCAGCACAAATGAAAATGTCATTTTAGTTTTTCAAATTCTACAGATGTGTTTTGCAGTTTAGGTTTTTTTTTTTTTTTTTTTTTTTGCCAGTTGTGGGGCCTGAACTCTGGGCCTAGGTGCTGTCCCTCAGCTTTTCGGCCCAAGACTAGCGCTTTACCACTTGGAGCCACAGTGCCACTTCTGGCCTTTTCTGCTTATGGGGTGCTGAGGAATCGAACCCAGGGCCTCATGCATGCAAGGCAAGCGCTACCACTGAACTACCTTCCCAGCCCAAGGTTCATTTTTTGTTCTCAACATTTTATTATGAACGCTTTTAAACACAAATAGTGGAAGAATTGTATGGTGAATACATAGGTATTAATAAGATTCTACCATTAACACATTGTATTTTCTTTTTTCTTTTTGCCAGTCCTGGGGCTTGAACTCAGGGCCTGGGCACTGTCCCTGAGCTGTTTTTGCTTAAGGCTAGCACTCTATCACCTGAGCCACAGTGCCACTTCCAGCTTTTTCTGTGTATGGGCTTCATGCATGTTAGGCAAGCATTCTACCACTACGCCACCTTCCCAGCCCTGGATTTTTTTCTTGACAAAGTTTAGTAATTCTGATTTTATTCTCATAATTCTGATCATTTTATTCTGACTATAATTCTGATTCTAGGTTTAGTCAAGACCATGCCAGATCAAACCTTATTTGGAATTTCAAAACACGAGAAGAGCTGAAAGATACTCTTGAATCTGAAATGAGAACATTTAATATTGATAGAGAGCTTGGCAGCACTAATGTTATTTCCTGGAACCACCATGAATTCGAGGTATAGTTTCATTTTGCAGTGTATTAATCTTAGTATCAAGTATTTACTATTTTTGGAGTGATTAAAAAAATGCTTGCTAATTACATAGCTTATGTCCTTATCATTCCTCTGTAATATTATGGAGGAAATGATTGGAACATTTTCATCTTTGAGTGAAACAGAAATAAAAATTAATTTTGTTAAATATCTGCTTTATACCCAAGAATCGAGTAGGAGGTTTAATGACCTATGCATTCCAAATTTGTTCTTTGCATTTTTTTTTCCATTTGGGGGGGCTTTTAAATTCTTTCCTTATAGGAATATAGACTGTATGCCAGGTTCTTCTATAGCTTACTTGGATAATTTTTTGTGGTAATTGGATTCTGAATGGGACTGCATTTTGCTATCACAATATTCATGTGAGGACCATGGAAAGCAAGAACAAGAACTGTTCATGGTGTATAATTTTATGTGTGTATAGTTTTAAGTGTCTATCTATCTTGACTATATTATAATACATACAGTCATATGCTGCATAATGATGTTTTGGTCTAGTAGCACCTAGTAACATTGTTAACTACCTGTCTCACTTGGAGTTAAGCATGCTCCGTAATGTTTGCACAAGATCGAAATCACCCAACAACTTAGAAAGTCTCCCCATCATTAGGTGACTGTGTAATTGAGAGTTACAACAGATAATAAGTTTGCACTTGCAGAGATCTTTCATCCAGCTACATTTCTAAAGCATATAATAATTTGGATGTTGTCTACTTCTCGGTCTCTATTTTCCTTTATCTCCGTAGCCACTCATTATTTTCTGACCTCAGTCAGTTTTCAGACCTCTTTTCATTTGTATTCCTTGCCTTAATGTCTCATCAAGTCTCACGACTTAAAATGCTTTTTGTGCTGATGGCTTCTCCATTTCTGTCTCCTGCTTAGGTTTATGACTACATCCTTTTATCCCATAATTGCACGTAGAGGAATCATCTGGAGCTTCGCTCCTGATTGTGATCCCTTGTAAAGACTGCTTGTCTTGCCATCTTTCAGATCTTCCATAATGTATGCTCCTTATGTTTTACTGCAAAGCCTCAATGCAGTCCTTCCCTTTATACTCCACATCCAGTTTGTCAGCAAACCCTGTTGAGTCAACCTTTAGACTTTACGCAGAACTCAGCCCTCTCTTCTCACTGTTGGATTTATCTGTATATCCGCCTCACCTTGGCCTCCCTGTGGTCTGTTGTCAACCTCGCAGCAGGGTGGACCTATTTTGTTTATTTATTTATTTATTTGCCTCTTCTGGGGCATGAACTGTAGGCCTGTGCTCTGTCCCTGAGTTTCTTCTGCTCAAGGCTAGCGCTTTTCCACTTGAGCCACAGTGCCACTTCTGGCTTTTTTTCTGAGTAGTTTATTGGAGATAAAAGAGTCTCGTGGACTGTCCTGCCCAGGCTGGCTTCAAACTGTGGTCCTCACATCGCAGCCTCGTGAGTAGCTAGCATTAATGGGTGTTGGTCACTGGCACCTGGCAAGGATGGTCCTATCAAAACACAAGCAGCTCATTCTGTTTCTTTCCACAGAACCTTTTCTTGTCACTCAGTAAAAATCAGGGTTCCTGAAATGGCACACAGGCAGGGTATGCGTCCCCCCAGGCCACAGACATTTGTGGCTTTATCTCACACTACTCTCCCTCTGATGTTGCTGCAACCACATGGGGTCCCTGGAACAACACATGTTTTTTTTTTGGTCAGTTGTGGGGCTTGAACTCTGGGCCTGGGTGCTGTCCCTCAGCTCTTCAGCTCAAGGCTAGCGCTCTACCACTTGAGCTACAGTGCCACTTTCGGTTTTCTGGTATTTTATTGGAGATAAGAGTCTCACAGTCTTTCCTGCCCGGGCTGGCTTTGAACTGCGATCCTCAGATCTCAGCCTCCTGAGTAGCTAGGATGACAGGTGTGAGCCACCAGCGCCCAGCTACAACACATGTTCTTGCCTCAGGGATGTCCTGATTGGTGTCAGCCTCTGTGTAGAAGGAACTTTTCCTCCGACAGCCTCCTAACTTGCTTTCTCATCTCCTTCAGATCTTTTCCTGGATGTCATTTCTGGGTTTTCCCAACAGCCCCGTGGAAACACAGCCCCTTCATACGTATACATGTGTGGGACTGCACTTCTTCTCTCTACCCCTCAGTTTCCCTGCTGTATTTCACTCTGTGACACTTCTATCATCCTACTTTTCCAGACATTCTTCTTGTTTTTTTTTTTTTTTGTTGGTCGTGGGGCTTGAACTCTGGGCCTGGGCGCTGTCCCTCAGCTCTTCAGCTCAAGGCGAGCGCTCTACCACTTGAGCTACAGCGCCACTTCCGGTTTTCTGGTGATTTATTGGAGATAGGAGTCTCACGGTCTCTCCCGCCCGGGTTGGCTTTGAACCGCGATCCTCAGATCTCAGCCTCCTGAGTAGCTAGGATTACAGGCGTGAGCCACCAGCGCCCGGCTTTTCCAGACATTCTTATGCTTGCTCTCCCTCTGCTAAATCTCCAGTGCATGGTGGTATAAATGCTTAGTGAGTAGAAGTTAAGTGAGTGGAGTGCTCTGAATTTAGAAGAGGAAAGCGGAATGGAGACTTTATGCCTAAGAGAACAGACTTGTAAAACTGTAAATACATAGAGCATGTCATTTCTGGGGTTCTGAGGGTTTTCTGTCATCTTTGCTTGAGATAAACAGCCTGAGTGCTCGGGTTTCTCCCCATTGCCTCTGTGTAGTTGCTTGGGTAGTGTAACACACAGAAAAGGCCCTGCATACAACTATAAACTGTGGTCCATGCATTGGTTGTAAGTCTTGGGATATCAGCAAGGGAGAGCTCTGGGGTTTGAGGGTGGTCTCAAAATGGCCTGTGTGTGCCTGGCAATACTGCCGTGGACCATCTACTCCTGACCTGTTTCTAGCAAGCCAGAAGCTGAAGAAGCAGATCCTGGTGATGCCGGGCAGTGCTGCAGCACCTTTTAGCAGCAAACCATGCAGTCATGAAACTGCTGTGAATAGTTTTCAGCTTAGTCATGACTGAGCTAGTTAGACTCATCATACTGAATCACCAGGTATCGTAAGAAACCACAAGCTCTGAACAAAGAGAATTACAAGAAATAATCTGGCAGAAAATGTTAAAAAAAAAAGTCTGTTATAAACTAAAATGTTGTCTTTTATTTGTTTCTAAAGGTTAAATACGAGTGCCTGGCAGAGGAAATCAAAATAGGAGACTATTATCTGAGATTACTGTTAGAGGAAGATGAGAATGAAGAGAGTGGATCGATTAAGAGATCGTGAGCTGCCTTTTCTTCCCTTCCCATTGGTTCTCACTCTTTGTTTTATGGGTTTTTGTATTGAGACTTCTTTTTAAATCTAGGTATGAATTTTTCAATGAGCTCTATCATCGCTTTCTGCTCACTCCCAAAGTAAACATGAAGTGTTTGTGTTTACAAGCTCTTGCTATTGTTTACGGCCGGTGTCATGAAGAAATAGGACCCTTTACTGATACCAGATACATCATTGGAATGCTGGAGCGGGTAAGCACAGGGCTCCTCCGTAGTGTCAGGGGAGTTCGTACTAAGCTTTCAGATTAATTTTTACTTGACCATGTTCTTGTGAGCTTTCTGAGTACTTTTTATATATTTTTTTGTTATATTTACCCAAATCTTTTAAGTTAGATTAAAAGTGATTAATGGACTAATATTTGTCCAGGCTAGTTTATTGTTATGCTTTCAGTTTTTGCTTTTTAACAACTTTACTGACCTATTTGCCAGTCTTTTTGAAGTGTGACCAATGAGCTGACAGATGACATGTACAGGAAACAGTGACTTTTAAAATGGTGTGCACCTTTGGTTTTCCATCTGGGGAAAAAAAAAAACAAACTTGCAAATGAAATAAAATTAGCATACTAAATTGGAAAGTGTGAAAATAGTAAAAAAAAATTTGAGGACTACAGTGGAATCAGGAACTGGCCAGACTCTGGTAGCATGTCTGTAATCTTAAGCTAATCAGGAGGCTGAGACCTGAGAATTGCAATTCAAAGCCAGTCCCCGCAGGAACATCGGTGAGACTCTTAAGTGGTGCTGTGGTTCAAGTGGTGGAGTGCTCACCTTGATCTGAAGAACTGAGGGGCAGTGCTCAGCTCCAGAGTTCAAGACTCACGACCAACAAAAAACAAGCAGGGAACTTAGCACATTTAAAAAATTTTGTGCAGTTCGTCCCATTGCAGTTGAGTGTGATAGGGGACAAATCTTCATTGTGTAGCACACTGGGTGTTAGCTGTGGTAGAGACCTTGCATTTTTCTTCCATTTGTGTTAGTATTTTACATTCGACAGGTTAACTGCTATACAGAGCAATACTTCGAAGTTACCAAACAGCCATTTATAATCACACTTGCAAAACTGAGTGATGCATTGATGCTTCTGAATACATGCACAAACATGCCCAAAGAGTAACTTTATAGGGCTGAAATCCTTAGTGTTTGTTAAAACAAAATTGCAGTAATTGCTATAATAGTATAATTCATTGTGCTAATGAATTTTTTCTTTTGAGACAAGGTATTACGATGTAGCCCAGGCTGCTGTAATCCTCCTGCATCAGTCTCCTCAGAGCTGAGATGATAGGCATGCACACCACACCCAATTCTACCTCACTCTTAGTCCAGTTAGCTGGAAGACTGGTAGCATACCAATTGCCTTTTAAGCAGATAAATTTTTTCTTCTTATTTATGTTAATGATGATACCTCACTTTCCAATTCTGTGAAAATGTTACCAATTCAAGAGTATTGTCTATTTCCGGTTTTATGTATCTCCTTAAAGCTGTCTTTTAATCTATTAAATGACTAAAAGTTTTTCGAAAATTGGATCAGTTGTGTAAAATTACAGGGAATGTAAGACATTGAGGAATTGCAGCCATTCATAGGTATCTGTCATTTTTCTTCTTAGTGTTTAAAGGTACTGTTATCTTGTCAGTCTATTTTGTGAAATGATAGTAATGTTTTTCATTAATGTGTCTATTCACTCGGACTTTTTTGTTGTTAGAGCACAAGTTTTATTTATTTTCAAATTCTTAATGTGATTGATTACATAATTTCCCAAATTTCACAGTATTGTGGGATAGTGATGCTTAGTTAAAGTCACAAACACATTCTAACTTTCATGGGGCAAATTGTCTATTGTGGTCTATAACATTTATGTCACTCAGACTCATATGTTCCTTTATTTCAATAGTGCACAGATAAACTTGAACGAGACAGATTGATCCTCTTTCTAAACAAGTTGATCCTTAATAAGGTACGGTATTTTTGCAAAACTACGCTATCATTTCCAAGAATTAACTTCCCGTTTGAGTTAATTATCTAGAGCCAATTCTTTGACCTTTTTCGATAAGAAAGCTGTGAGTCTTGCCAGTGGCGTTCCTGGAGTATTCTGCCTTCCTATGACAAGTGTCAAATGAGCTAGTGATAACAAACTTCTGAATGGAGAGTAACGAGTAATGTATCACTAGCTGATTTTTCTTTAAGAGAGGACATTTAGAACACATACAGTGCAAACATTTACACAGGGATAAAAATAAGTAAAATAAGTACTTACCTGACATAAAAATAGAAAGCCTTATACTTTTCAGTGTATTTTTTGTGGGTAGAGGTTAGGTACAAGGGGAAGAGAAAGAGAAAGACAAGACAGACAGACAAGGTCACATTGTGTACATTGTGTAGCTTAGGCTGGCCTAAAACTTGTGATCATCCTGCTTCAACCTCCCGAATTCTAGGATTATTGGCATGTACCACTGCCCCTAAAATCAGTATACAATTTGAAGATTAAAAAAAATAATGTGGCCAGGCATCAGTGGCTCACATCTGAGGATCAACATTCAAAGCCAGCCTGGGCAGAAAAGTCCCTGTGAGACTCTTATCTCCAATTAACCACTTAAAAACTGGAAGCGGAGCTGTGACTCAAAAGTGGTAGAGTGCTAGACTTGAGCAAAAGAGTTCAGGGACAGTGTCCAGGCCCTGACTTCAAGCCCCATGACTGACCAAAATATAAATAAAATAATAATTTGAAGATATAAAATGAAGAATCACTTTATTCTTGTTTTCTTTTTGCAGATAGTTCACTAGGTTCATTCTGGTTTTCAATAAGAACTCTATGATACATAGTTTTAATTTACGATTACGTGATGTTGAAATTTCAGTTGAAGCAGATGTTTATTCCTTGTAGTTTTGATAAACACTTGAGTAGATTTTTCTTTTGTTTTGCTGATCCTGGGGCCTGAACTCAGGGCCTGGACTCTGTCCCAGGGCTCTGTGCTCAAGGATAGTGCTCTACCTCACCTGAGCCATAGTGCTACTTTCAGCTTTTTCTGAGTAGTTTGTTGGAGATCAGAGTTTCACGGGCTTAAGGATCCTGCCTGAGCTGGCTTTGAACCATGTTCCTGAGATCTCAGTATCCTAACTAGCTAGAAGTACAGGTGTGAGACACTGGTGCCTGGCCAGATTTTTCTTCTAATGCTTTTTTAAGTCATGGAGCTTGAACTCAGGGCCTGGGCGCTGTCCTTCAGCTCTTTTGTTCATTACTAGCTCTCTATTACTTTGAGCTACAGCTCTACTTCCAGTTTTCTGGTGGTTAATTGGAGATAAGAATTTCACTGCCGGGCTGGGAAGTTGGCTCAGTGTAGAGCGCTTGCCTTGCATGCCTGAGGCCCTGGGTTCGATTCCTCAGCACCACATAAGCAAAAAGAAAAAAGCCGGAAGTAGTGCTGTGACTCAAGTGGTAGAGTGCTAGCCTTGAGCTGAAGAGCTGAGGGACAGTGCTCAGGCCCAGAGTTCAGGCCCCACGACTGGAACCAAGAAAAAAAAAAAAAAGAATTTCACTGCCTTTCCTGCCTGGGTTGGCTTTGGAACTGTGATTCTCAGCCTCTTGAGTAGCTAGGATTACAGGTGTGAGCCACCAGTGCCCATTTCAGAAATTTTAAGTTATTATTTCTACCTAAATTCTAAGCAATTATAGCTTTTACTTTAGATTACATAAACTGGATTATTAAAAGAGAACTAGCCTTGAGCTGAAGAGCTGAGGGACAGCGCCCAGGCCCAGAGTTCAAGCCCCATGACCGACCAAAAAAAAAATTCTAATGTAACAAATTTTATTTTTTATCACATAATAACCTCTATTAATAAAAAACACCTTGGCAAGATAATTGTATAACCACACTGTATCATGTCAGTCTTTAATTTGTTTATTTTTGTGGGGATATTTTTTTTCTCAACATACTTAAATAGAAATTCTTACTGTGATGGCTTCATAAATAGTTTAACCCTTTTTAACCCAAATTCATGTTTCTTGGGAACAAAATCCAGAAAGCACTGATATTACCAGTTGTGTGCTAATCATTTCCAAAGAACTTACAATGGCCTTCCTCTGAGAATGTATCTTTTAGGTAGTAGTACCTGTTGATGATAACAACCTTTAGACGATGTTAAAAATGTTTTTCTCATTCTTCCAGAAAAATGTAAAAGATCTCATGGATTCAAATGGGATCAGGATCCTCGTGGACCTGCTCACCCTCGCCCATCTCCACGTGAGCCGAGCTACGGTTCCACTGCAAGTATGTGTGCCTGCTGAGCCTGCTGGCAAAACATGCTTCCCACACAATTGTAGAGCCCTTGCAGATCGTTTTAGTGTGTTCTCAGTAAAGTACAGCACTAGTGCCAAAAAGGTGAAGGGTCCAGAATGGACAGTAACGATCCAGTTTTACTATTCCACTCTCTTTAGTCTGCATCTCTAATGTGGTCTCTCTTGATGGAGTGTGATCTTTAGGATTTAAACTGAATTGCTCAGTCAGATAACTAGAGCTTTGCTATTGACAAGCAGTTTGCCCCTAAAGGATCTGGAGGCCTTCTGAGACAAGAGGACAGAGCCTCCAGTGTTACTCGAAGGCCTTTTCTACTGCCAACTTATAAAAGGGGTTTCTACTTAGTTTGTTGTTCTTTAGTTATGTGTTGCACTTAATAGCATTTGAATGCTATATGAAAGCATAACATCAGAATTTTTCTGTTCTTAGGACTAACAGGACTCCTAATGCTTGTTAAATACCATCACAGTGTGCCAGATATTGTCTGCTATGCACACCACACATACACTTCCCAATGAGGTGATAACCATCATTTCCCCGTGTTACAGTGAGAAGCTGTGGAGCAGAGCTGCTAGGTACACTGCCAGAGATCACGCAGAAGCGGTGGGGCTGGGTTAGAGCCCAGAAGTCTCTGCCTTTCCTCACTTGGCGATACTTCTGTAGCTCACTTAAAATTTTGGATGAATTCCTAAAGGGTCATAAGCCCCCAAATTTGTACTGTGTAGCTTGTTTTATGATACTTACCCCCTTTGATCTCTGCCTCGAAAAATAACTCATTTGTTGTTGCTGTTATTGTTTAACTCAGAGCAATGTAATTGAAGCTGCTCCAGATATGAAAAGAGAAAGTGAGAAGGAATGGTATTTTGGCAATGCAGACAAAGAAAGGAGTGGTCCGTATGGCTTCCATGAGGTACGCCGTTGGCTTGGAGAAACTCTCTATCTCTCCCTCTATGATTGTTCTTGTTTGTTTGGTTTCTGACACAGTCTCGCTGGGTAGACTGGTTTTGAACTTTCCTGCCCAGCCTCCTTGGTAACAGGTGTATACACACGTCAGACAGGCCTCCAAATTTCTTATGCCCTCCTTCCTAGCACTCACAGAGATGTATACTCTTAAAAAATGATTCAAATGCTTTTAACAACTCCAAAGCCCCTCCAGTTCCATCCCTACCTAAAGAATTACATGGTTTGTGCTCCCAGAGAACTATATATATATATAAAAGATCAGGCTTCAAGCCTTATTTATAAGCCGTTATTGAGGTAACAATCAAGGTCTCAGTGACTTTTTGTGTAATAGCTATTGATGCCTTACTGTTGAACTAATGTTTTTTTTTTCTATTCGATATAAACAAGTAAGTTCTAATATCCCATAAAGTATGTTGAGTTGTGCCTTTGAAGTTTTAGAGCTTACGCAAGTTATCATTTGCAAAGCATTTGAGCCTATCCTCTATCTTCCCGTCTCTTCAGCTGTTGGGAGTTAGCAAAAAATTGTTTTACAGAAGACCAGCTCCTGCTTAACAATGTTTTTCCTGTTCTACTCTGTCTACAGTTTTTATACTTAACATTTGTCATATCATGCACCTGACCAAATAAGTGGTTCTTTTTCTTGAACTATGATCCATATTTAAGTTTCTAAAAGCCCGTCGACAGAGACTTGGTTTCTTGTCAATGAATTTGCATCTTTATTTCCCAGTATCTCACTAGGATAGTACATTCCCGTTTTCACATGTTATTTACTGTGATGTAGAAAACTTGGGCAGACTTTTCCATGTGTATATTGTCAACAATAACAATGCCTTCCATCAATTAAGATGCAAGAATTATGGACCAAAGGAATGTTAAATGCAAAAACTCGATGCTGGGCTCAAGGCATGGACGGATGGAGACCGCTTCAGGCAATACCCCAGCTCAAGTGGTGTCTGTTAGCCAGCGGACAGGCCGTGCTGAACGAGACCGACCTCGCGACCCTTATATTGAACATGTTGATCACAATGTGTGGATATTTTCCAAGCAGGTAATGTGTGGTGGATGTTTTTACGGTTGACACGTTTTTTTTACGGTTGACAGTAATATTTCTGTGAGTTACATGTGAGTGTGTTTGGAAATAGACAGCTCTAGTCTTGTTACTGGTAAGTGCCAACTCCCAATCTGGTGTAGATCTGGAGTAGAGGGCGATTCTAGGCTCATATCTCGGTCACCTGAATAATAAAGGATGAGGGCTACAATAGCTATAATTTATACCCTATGCCTAGAACTGTTTCATCTTTACAAAATATTTTGTTCTAGCCCATATCGAAAATACCTCGTGATATACATTGCTGAGGAAATGACACACACATACACAGTTAAAATCACACATACTTGAGGTGTTTGTGTTTCCAGTCGTGTTAAAAAAAAATCTGCTTAGACTCAGAATGGTACAGTTAGCATTTAGGAATGAATAGTGTAGCATTAGATTGAAGGCTATATTTGGAAGGTGCTGAGCACAGTTCAGTTAAGGGTTAAATTTATGATACGCCCTTTGGGGGGACTTTCCCACTGGCAGTGTGTTGGACAACACAAGGTTTCACCAATTAAATAATAAATAAGAGTCTCTGGCTCTTCTAGGGCACTGTTTTTGAAGGAAATCTTTTGGAAGGAAATGAAGTCAATTTAAGCAGCCAAGTAGATTTAAGCCAGAAATTCCTAATCATGTTCCCAGCTGTATGAGAGCTTAGTCTTCATTAACAAAAAAAAGTAAGGTAACCCACTTCATGCCTAGTAGAATGTCTTGTCATATGCGATGAAGATACAGATTTTAGTAAATACCTTGAATGCTGACCTCAGAAAATGTTTTCTAGGGATCAAGATAACGCCATCATTCGGCCTTTACCCAGAGTGAAAAGACTGCTGTCAGACAGCACTTGCCTTCCCCATATTATTCAGGTGGGTTCCTTCAGTGACAGCAGGCTAGGGACAGTATTTGAGAAGTATCATCTCTTCCGTAATGGGGATAATGAGATCTTTATTTTATTTTTGTTGGTCGTGGGCCTTGAACTCTGGGTTTGGGTGCTGTCCCTGTGTTCTTCAGCTCAAGGTGAGCACTCTACCGCTTGAGCCACAGTGCCATTTCTGTTTTTTTTGTTTTTGTTTTTGTTTTTTTTTTTGGATTCAGTCATGGGACCTGAACTCTGGGCCTGGGCACTGTCCCTCAGCTCTTCAGCTCAAGGCTAGCGCTCTACCACTTGAGCCACAGCGCCACTTCTGGCTTTTTTTCCTTTTTGCTTATGTGGTGCTGAGGAATCGAACCCAGGGCCTCATGTGTGCAAGGCAAGCGCTCTACCACTGAGCCACCTTCCCAGCCCCCCATTTCTGGTTTTCTAGTGGTTTATTGGAGATAAGAGTCTCACAGACTTTCCTGCCTGGTCTGGCTTTGAACCAAGATCCTCAGTTCTCACCCTCCTCAGTAGCTAGGATGACAGGCATGAGCCACCAGTGCCCAGCCACGAGATCTTATCTTTATTCTGTTCCATATTTATAAGTCCCTGAATTGCATTTACATGATTGACTCTTAATTAAGTTTGTAATCGGCATCCAATGTGGAAGGATTGGAGACTTCCCATGTTTAGGTTCCTGGATGCACAGATTCCAGGGTACTCTTAAGGGCGTTCTTAAATCGCACTGCTGTACTCTCTGGGAAGTGTTGACTATAGAGGGCTATGCAGGCTGCTGAGTCCAACACACTAGCCAGCCAAGCTCTCAGACATCGTGGATTCTATCTTAACTGCAAGGAGGTCCTGCAGTCTGAACAGCCTAGGCCTCAGATTGTGACCGGTCTCAGAATTCAAGGACAGCAGCTAAAGCAAAGCGCTGAGTTGGAATGGTATACTGTAGTAGAGCAGCGTTCCTTTTTCATTCTTTGTTCTGCATTATGTCATGCTGAGGGGATTTACCTGAAACTCAGATTAGCATCAAACACAAATAAGTGAGATCCCAGAAATTTCAGAGATACATTAACCTCCTGTCTATCAATCATTCATTCGTCAACTATATCTTCTTAACATTAACTGTACAAAACTTTACCTTAAAGCCAAGCCACCAGTGGCTCTCATCTGTAATCCTAGCTATTCATGAGGCTGAGATCTGAGGGTTATCATTCAAAACCAGCCTGGGCAGGAGAGTCTGTGAGACCCTCGTCTCCAACTAAGCACCAAAAATAAAAGCCAGGAGTGGGGCTCTGGCTTAAGTGGTAGAGCACTAGCCTTGAACACAAAAGCTCAGGAACTGCAGCAAGGCCCAGAGTTGAGTTCAAGCCTCAGGACTGGCACCAAAAAAAAAAAACGCCAAACCAAAAAACTTAACCTTAAGGTCTGTGAAGTACCCCTTCTAATCTGCTTGATCTCTTTGATTTTTCTGTTCCATCCTGGAGTCCTCAGGAGACTATTCATGTTGCCTGAGCAGAATTCCACTTGTTCAGCGTAGAACTAGTCTTTTTGTTTCTTTTTCCATTAACAGAAAAGTCCACTGAGGAAGATCTTCAGAGAAGAAGCAGTTCTACCCGTAACATTGTGATAGAACCAGCTTCAGGCATATTTGAGCTATAATGCTGAACATGCTCTGATCAATTCCGGTTGATAGATTACTTTCTGTATTAAATATTATAGAATGAATCTTTAAAAAAAAAATCTGGCTGGGCGCGGGTGGCTCATGCCTGTAATCCTAGCTACTCAGGAGGCTGAGATCTGAGGTTCACGGTTCAAAGCCAGCCCGGGCAGGAGAGACCGTGAGACTCCTATCTCCAATAAACCACCAGAAAACCGGAACTGGTGCTGTAGCTCAAGTGGTAGAGCACTCTCCTTGAGCTGAAGAGCTGAGGGACAGCGCCTAGGCCCAGAGTTCAAGCCCCACGGCCGACCAAAAAAAAAAAAAAAAAGATAAAAAATCTGTTAGTCTGGAAGGCCAGCTTGCTAACGTAAGAATTTGCAGCCTTGGAGTAACTCATGAAGCAAAATGTTTTATTCACTTTCTCAGCTGCTGCTGACCTTTGACCCCATCCTTGTTGAGAAGGTTGCCATCCTGTTATACCACATCATGCAAGATAACCCACAGTTGCCTCGCCTGTACCTGAGTGGAGTGTTCTTCTTCATCATGATGTACACCGGTTCCAATGTGCTTCCCGTTGCTCGGTAAGAATTCAAGGAGGATCTGTGTAAAATGATGACGTGAGTGATAAGTGGGCGTATTTATCTGGAATATATTTGTATGGGATTTTTGTGATTTTTGTTTCTTCATTCACTCATTTGGCCGTACTAAAGTTTGGGTGAAGGGCATTGTGCTAATTGAGCTTGCTTGCTTCAGCCGGTGCTCTGCCGCAAGAGCCTACAACCTAGCTTTTTGCTGGTTATGTTAGAGGAAGTCACATGGGACTTGTCTTTTATATCCAGCCTGGCCTCAAACTTGGATCCCTCCAGATCTTGGCCTCCTGAGTGGCTAAGATTACAGGCCTAATTTTTTTATTACAAAAGTTAACCTGACTCCATGTCTGAAAAGTTGGAATCATACTGCTTTACCACATCTAATGTTTGAATTTCATCATTTAGTATTTTAATACATACTATTACTGTGTTTTTATTGTACATGCAGTTTTACTTTAAAAAATTGTTACATAGCCTTAATATGTCCATACTTTAAAATCATCCAATCACATTAAATTCTTGCTGTACAATGATGTGGAATGTGGATTTATAAGTTGTTTTTCTGACTTTGTTTTCAATCCACAAAAGACTATGTAGTCCTTAGAAACTCAGGATGGCTACAACCATATCAACTCCTGTTTCTAACAAGTATTTTATTTCTCTTTCTAGGTTTTTGAAATATACACATACCAAACAGGCTTTCAAATCAGAGGAGGTAAGCCAGATTAATCTTCCGAATGTTTTGAATTAGTATTCTGCCATATCAGTAGCACTTTAAATCTTTTTCAGCTATGCATGTTTCCAAGGTTATAAGGTACTTGGGGACAAATATTGCTTTATTCAGTTTTTACATTCTTTGTTTTACATTGCACATAGAAGGTCTACACAAATTTATTTAATGAAAATAAGTATTGCCCATTAGACTTACTTTGAGATTTCAGTCATTAGTTATTGATAGCTCTGTGAATGTCAGTTATTCTCTTTGAGTAACATTTAGATTGTGGGGTTGGTTTTTGTCTTTGTTTTGTTAAATCTTTTATTGTAAAGCTCAACCTCATCTAGTCAACTGAGACTTATAAGACTTGGGCCTTCTTTGTGTTCAGATCTCAAGACAGAAGAGCTAGGTTTCTGTGTTGAAGCTGCTTCATTTTTCACTTGTTCTCGTGTTTGTAACATTTTACTAAGAAACACACACACACCTTACCCAGGAAGCACACACACATACACACACACCTTACCCAGGAAGTGTGCACAAACACACACCTTACCCAGGAAGCACACACACACAGACACACACACACACACCTTACCCAGGAAGCACACACACACACACACCTACCTTACCCAGGAAGCACGCACACACACACACACACACACACACACACCTACACCTACCTTACCCAGGAAGCGCGCACACACACACATACACACACACCCACACCTACCTTACCCAGGAAGCTTAACCTGAAACTGTATTTCCTGTTTTGTAAAAAAAAACAATTATTGTCAAAACATAACTGAAGATGCTTCAAAATGTGTTAAGCTTTTCATGAATCATTTATCATTTTGCATTTTATCCAGAGCAGTAGAAATCTCTGTGTAGAGTACTAAGCAAAGATGGCTGAATACTTGTCCAGTAGATAGTAGATCAAGATGTAGACTTGGAAGAATAGTAATAGAAGCCCTAAAGAATCATCTTCCCTAATAATAATAAAAATGATGTCCATGACAACATAATTTCTGTAGCTTTTTACAAATAAAAAATGAGTCTATTGGGGGAAAATGATCTCATGATAATCTTTAATGTAGTAGTAGGTATTTGGGGTCATTTTTTTCCTTTGTTTCTATGCAGCAATACACATTCAATCTTTTGAAAACAAATTTTGTATTGGGGGGCTGGGAATGTGTCTAAGCGGTAGAGTGCTTGCCTAGCATGCATGAAGCCCTGGGTTCAATTACCCAGTACCACAGATACAGAAAAAGCCAGAAGTGGTGCTGTGGCTCAAGTGGTAGAGGGCTAGCCTTAAGCAAAAAGCTCAGGGACAGTGCCCAGGCCCTGAGTTCAAGCCCCAGGACTGGCCCAAAAACAACAACAAAATTTTGTGTTTTGGAATAGTTACACCAAAACTATGGCAGGATTTTGAATGAAGTAGTTACCAAACAATAGGATTCCAAACAACAGAACAAAACAATTTTCACCAAAAGTTGAACAGATTGTGAGTTTGTTATATTCAGTAGCAAAAAGTTTAAAAACTGCCATCAATTCTAATTTATATCCAATTGGAAAATGTTATTTGAGGGCTTTTTTTCCCCCTGTCCCATTGACCTGTCTTAGAGAAGTAAGAGTAAAACATGTTAAACTTGCCTACAAAGAAACAAAATGTTGAAGGCATGTTCAGAGTGAAAATTCCTGACTAGCAAGCATTAGTCCCAGAGTTCAAACCCCAGTACCACTAAAATAAAAATTTAAGAACTCAGAAAGGCCTTTATATTCACTAAGATTCCATCAGATAAAGGAACGAGTTTAAACTTTTAGTAAGGTAACTGTGACAACCATTAATCTTAACTCCATTTGGCCAGCCAGAGAACATGAACTCCTCACAGAATGCCTCTGCCTAAATCCCACTCAGATTTCATAAGGACAGCCTTTTTGAAATCCTTAAGATCTTCTGTATGCTCTTGTTTTTGAGAGCACAGCAGGTATAGGTAGGAACTGTAGTTGAAGATGTCATTGGAGATAGCTGATGAAATCTTAATGGAATCTTTCTTGGGTTGGCCATAACTATCACACATTGCCTAAGGCTGGTTGCTCTAAATTAACACTGAGAGAGCACCTAGCCCTTGAGGAGATGAAGACCCTTGTGAGGCTGGAGACGGCCAGTTCCGCCTGGGCACTCCTCTAGCAGTTTGTACCAGACATTTTCTATTTACTATTCCTAACAAATGAAAGCAGTTTGCTCTAGTTGTACTCCTTTTAATTGTAACTCATTTTGTCAAGGAGTTGAAGCCTAGCGTAATACGTTATACTTGTAATCCTAACTACTCAAGAGGCCAAAATCCAAAGAGTCTAGTTTAGGGCTACCTCAGGCCAAAACAAAAAAAGTTCACGAGACCAATATTAACCCCCCCCCAATATATGTATATAGTGTAGAGTGTGTGTATACTCACACACACACACGCGCACACACACACGCGCGCGTGCATTGATCTTTATCAACCAGTAAATAAAATAGAGGCTAGCTTAGGTGAAACTCAAGATGCTTTTCAAAAACACAAGCTGAAAAGACTGGGAGAGTGGTTTAAGTGGTTAGAGAATGCCTGCCTAGCTAGCATGAGACCCTGAGTTCAAGTCCTAGTACTGCCACAAAATACCAAAAATCTTTTTGTAGCCGGGCACCGGTGGCTCACACCTATAATCCTAGCTACTCAGGAGGGTGAGATATGAGGATCGAGGTTCAAAGCCAGCCCGGGCAGGAAAGGCCATGAGACTTAACTCCAATAAACCACCAGAAAACCAGAATTAGCACTGTGGCTCAATTGGTAAAGCATTAGCCTTGAGCTAAGAGCTGAGGGACAGTGCCCAGGCCCAGAGTTCAAGCCCTACAGCCGGCCAAAAAAAAAAAATCTTTTTGTATTTTAAAGGTAATTGTTCATGTTTCTAACTATAAATTTTTTTTATCTTAAAGACAAAAGGACAAGATATTTTTCAGAGAAGTATTCTTGGACACATTCTACCTGAAGCAATGGTTTGTTACTTAGAAAACTATGAGCCTGAAAGGTTTTCTGAGATTTTCCTAGGAGAATTTGACACTCCAGAAGCAATCTGGAGCAGTGAAATGAGGTAAGTAGCCAGTTAATTCTATTTTGTGCTCATAGATTGTGTTGCTCACCGCTGCTTCTACTTCTATGAAAGAAATGTTTTCACCAGTTTGATCATCTAAAGTGACAAGAGTTGTTGATGAGTTTTCATAAGGCCCCTAAGCTTATATCTGTTCCTACCTGATTTGACAGTTATTGTTTCTTTATAGAGTTTTTTTTTTTTTTGGGTCAGGTCGTGGGGCCTGAACTCTGGGCCTGGGTGCTGTCCCTCAGCTCTTCAGCTCAAGGCTAGCGCTCTCCCACTTGAGCCACAGCGCCACTTCCAGCTTTTTTCTTATGTGGTGCTGAGGAATTGAACCCAGGGCCTCGAGCATGCAAGGCAAGTGCTCTACCACTGAGCCACCTTCCCAGCCCAACACTTTCTTGTTTTTATGTATATATTTGTGAGACACAGTGATGCTGCTGCTATATGTATACACTGTCAGCCCTCTTTTAGAGTTATAAGAGCATGACCTAGTACTACTAGTGCTTCTTAAGAATCAGGTTAGAGAGCTGAAAGGTGTTAGAGGTAGAGTGCTTGCCTAGCATGCACGAAGCCCTGGGTTCCATTCCTCAGTACCACATACACAGAAAAAGCCAGAAGTGGCACTGTGGCTCAAGTGGTAGAGCACTTGAGCAAAATGAGCTCAGAGACAGTGCCCCTGAGTTCAAAGCCCAGAACTGGGGGGAAAAAAAATCAGGTTAGAGAAGAGGTGAACTTTTATTTTGATAGTGCACTGGTAATGCAGTAAATCCACCTTATTTAGATTAACGATGCACAGTTTTGACTAAGTGTAGTCAAAAAGATGAGTAAAATCAAAAGAAATTTCAAAAACAGCAATTTTAAATTCCCAGACATGCCTTGCCCAGCTCCTTTGATCCACTGCTCTCAAATCCATGTTACCATCTGTTGTGTTTTAAATTGTATGATCCAGTGTTTCCCTTTGTGAAAATTCACCTCCTCTAAAAGCAAAGAAAAAACCATAAAGGGCATGTAAAGTGCCTAATTGGAATGAAGATGTTAGACTTGTTGAAGGGTGTCATTTTTCAAGAACACATAGCAGTGTGAATAACCTAGCATGGTTTTTTAAGTGCTAATCTTTTTTTTCTTAGGTTGGCTGAATCCCTGTAGAAGATGTATCTGTCTCTCTGTGTCTGACTAAATCCAATTCTACTCACTGTAGCACACGCTAGAACCTGTTGTTCTAGAGTAATCAAAGTAAATAGCATGGAATGAGCTTCCTCGGAGAGTAATAGGGTGCCTGGGCTCCCTTGTTGCACCCTACTGCATGCAGATGCCGTCTGATAGCTTTTTAGCAGCTGTTTTTTAATAGAAGAATGGAGAATATGGGCCCCTTTTTCTCAGATTTTCTCTACAGAAATTATTAAAGATGTTTGTTTCCACTGGTTCTTTTTAGACCTGAAAGTGGAATGAATGCATAACTTTTAAGCTCTTGTTTTCAGTCTATAATTGAGTTATTCTATCATCTGTGTCATTAATCTTGCATGATTACTTATCTTACCCTTCTCTTTAAAGTAACATAAGACCTTCAGAATATAGAAGGGGTAAAGTTTCATTGAGAAAGTAAACTGGTAGTGCAGTAAACCAGCCTGATTCAGATTCAGAATGCTTGAATGGAGGTTTCTGTACTTGTAGGCGCCTTATGATAGAGAAGATTGCTGCCCATCTTGCTGACTTCACACCTCGTCTTCAGAGTAACACAAGAGCCCTCTATCAATATTGTCCCATCCCAGTTATCAACTATCCGCAGCTAGAAAATGAACTATTTTGTAATATTTATTACCTCAAGCAACTCTGTGATACAATCCGGTTTCCAGATTGGCCAATTAAAGACCCGGTAAGGTTCAGTTTGCAGCTTCTTACACCACAAAAACATTTTCTAGCCACTTTTGGGTATTTTTTCCCTTTTCACCATTAAAAATGATAATAGCTTCCTTAAATATCCCTTCAACAAATGTCCCTTCAACAAATTTTACAGTAGTGCATGTCTACAGTTCCAGCAACCTGGGAGGCTTCTGGCACATGGAAGGATTACCTGAAGGCTGAGTTTGAGGCCAGCCTGGTCAACAAACTGTCATCCCTTCTCCAAAAGAAAAAAGTCAATTCTTCCTTCCTTTTTAAGCATTGTATAATTTTTAAGCATTATAATTTTAAATTAGTTGGGTAAATCTCAAAATGATACATAACTTTTTGAGGGAGCATTATAAACATCATAGTCTCGTACATAACTTTTTGAGGGAGCATTATAAACATCATAGTCTCGATCTTTTGTGATGGAGACAAGGTAAATTCCTGCATATAGCACAATTATAGACACAATTATGTAGCTTGGTGACATCTTGTCTTTATAGCTGATTGACTAGCTCATGGTGTTGAAGTTAGTCAATCTGAGATAGAATTTCAACTTGATCATTAGATCTATTTAATGCTCAGTACAGTGTCTGATTTCCCCAAGCCTCGGTTCTCACATCTACATGGTGGTAGCAGTAGTCACAGCCATTGTCTCCAGCGGTACTGGTAAAGATTGAGAATCCACATCAGTATGTTTCCTGGGCACACATCCAATGTAATCTCATTTGTGTAGCTGGGTGTGTGTGCTGTATCTTTTCATGGGATCCTTGTAAACTTAGCCCTTGGGTTTTTATGAGGAGCTAGAATGAAATAGGCAAATAGGCCTGGCTACTCCTGTCTCCACCCTCCACCCCCCACATTTTTTTTCCCGTGCCAGTAACAGAGCTTATATATTATCATTGTTATCTAAAAGAACAATTGACACGATTTATTCATACTGATTGCTCCTTACTAATTAGTTGATTGATTTTTAACTGGGTCTTGCTATGTCTAATAATAGAAAAAAGGAAAGAAAAATAAGAGGAAATAGCTTTATAACACATAATCGTGCTGCATAACTATCCAACATTGTTAAAGTGGTTTTTGATTGTATTGCAGAAAGCTGTGGCTTGGTGAGCTTAGAAATGCTGACTTGAATGAAGGCAGCCAAATATTTCACAAATTATGTTCTGAATAACTTCAGTAGTTCTAAGCTTTAACCCTCTGTCCTTAAGGTCAAACTGCTAAAAGATACCCTGGATGCCTGGAAGAAGGAAGTAGAAAAGAAGCCACCCACCATGTCAGTAGACGATGCCTATGAAGTGCTGAACCTACCTCCGGGACAGGGCCCGTAAGTCAGTTGTTCTCATACTGCCATTGCGCATACCCCACGCTACCTAAATCACTGTGAGCAGAGAGAATTCCATTCCAGCACCAGCTCTCTTTTTTCTTTTTCTTTCTTTCTTTTTTTTTTTTTTGGTCTTTTCTTTGATACATATGTCTATTGAGGACAAAAAACAATAGGACTCTCTTCATGTGATTCATGTACTACAGCTTTATTATTATTGGAAATTCACCATTACAGTCATATGATTTATGTCTTACAGATTTATTTATGTCTTGCTCTTTTATTATTACAAGTTACTCTCTTCTGTTCTCTGATATATATATATATATATATATATATATACACATATATAAAATCATTGGCATGTATTAATGAAGTTCTGTATACAAAGTGCCTGACATACGGAACTCACTCACATTTCTATTCTCTTCCTCCTAGTTTATACATGAGGAAAAGATTGACTTGCTAGCTAGCAGTTGCCTAGAGTACTAAATGACAAGAAGAAAGAAAGTGGGTTCACTTTAGTAATCCATCAGTGAAACTTTATAGTAGCCTATCTATGGTTTAAAAAAAGGCTTAAAAGGCTTAAGTTTTGAAGTATAGACTAAAAATTTTTGTGCTCTTTCGTTTTGCAACATTAATATATAATATCATATTTTAGGGTTTGAGTTGGCTTTTTTTTGGACCCAGTTTTGACAATGTAAAAAAAAATTGTGGGGGGGGGCTGGGAAGGTGGCTCAGTGGTAGAGCACTTGCCTTGCATGCTCGAGGCCCTGGGTTCAATTCCTCAGCACCACATAAGAAAAAGCCGAAAGTGGCACTGTGGCTCAAGTGGTAGAGTGCTAGCCTTGAGCTGAAGAGCTGAGTGACAGCACCCAGGCCCAGAGTTCAGGCCCCACGACTGGACCCAAAAAAAAAAAAAAAATAGTGGGTTGGTAGGGGAAAAACAAAAGGACGGGGGTAACAATGCTTGATAGGAAATCTACTTATAATCTTACTCATGTAACTGTATACTATTTTTACAATTTAAAAAAGCGTATTTTTTTAAAAAATTGTATTTTCAAACCTTTCCAGAGAACTTTTAGTTTATATCTTTTAACTGTAACAACCACATAAAAAATACTCCCTACTAGGTTGAATTTGATGCTGCATTTGGTCATATGTATGATCACCTATCATTCCTGCTCTCGGAGCCTTAATCATTGTAGCTGGTTGCGTGTGTGCTTTCTTACACAACTTGCTTACTTAACAGGCACGATGAGAGCAAGATTAGAAAAGCTTACTTCCGACTGGCACAGAAGTACCACCCCGATAAGAATCCAGAAGGGAGGGTAGGTACCGCCCTTGGAATTGGGACCCTGGGATGACTTCTATTGCCCTTCTAACAGCAGGAGAAAAGATGCCACCTTCTGAGCCACAACCTGCCTCAACATCTCCTCCTTAGCATCTGTTCAGGTCGCTTCTAGCCACGCGCTCATGCTGTCTCCGTGAGTCATCCTCCCTCAGTTTGTCCTGGTAGTTGTCGCTCAAGGACAGACACTGTCTCTCCTCTTCCTCATGTCTGCTTGAGAATTAACTCCAGTGGACAATCACAAGAAGAACGGAGAGTTGTCCTTATGGGTGGATGTGACTCACCTGAGGTGATGCCACTGCCATCAGATGACGTGAAGGAACTGGCAGATTGTTTCCCCAACATCAGTATCATCTGTATCATGTTAACTGGGGAAACAGAAACATCGGTCCATATTTTAAATCATAAGCTGTCAGCCCCTGATTCTGACTTCTTCAGTGTGAATCCCTAAAAGATGAAGTCACAGAAGAATCATTTAAAAGTAACCATCTGTTGCTAGAAATGGAACAATTTCTACTAACTTCAAGTTTTAGTGGTTTTTGTAGGAATTATAGCACCCTGAATAAGAGTTGACATGGAAAACATGCCACTGCCGTATGTGTAGCGTGGTTTTACCAAAAGCCTGAGTGCTTTGTTTTGTCTGTCAGGACTGGAGTTTGTATTTGGGGCCTTGTACTTGCTCGGCAGGTGTTGTATCACTTAAACCACACCCCACCTCTTTTTCCTCTGGTTGTTTTGAAGATAGGTTCTCACGTTTTTCCACATGCCAGCCTGGACTTTGATCCTCCTGTTTGTGCTTCCCGTATAGTTGGGATCATAGGTACATACTACCCTGCCCAGTTTTTGTTGTTGTTGTTGGTTTTATTAGTTAAGAAGAGGTTTTGTAGATTTTTGCCTTTGGCTGGCCTATAAGTTCTATCCTCACAATCTTGAGGATGTTAGGATTATGAGTGGGAGCTATGGAGCCTGACCGTTGCTTAGAACCTTGTAGCAATTTGTATTCATCTTATTGAAAAAAAGTAACAAGATAGAATGCTTGAAATGTTATTAAATTGATAGACTTACCCTCCCAAATATTAAAACGTGGTAAAACTACAGTTAGTTAAATTATGTCAGACTAACACAAGAATCAACATGTAGATCAATGGAACATGATACGGCTAGTGTAGAAGTTGAAAGCCCATGATACGGCTAGTGTAGAACTTGAAAGCCCGTATTTAACAGGTATTAATGTTGGCTACTGATTGATATTGTTCCCGAGTAAGTTACTTAGTATCCTGAGTTGCAGAGTCCTTGTGAACAAAATGAAGACAATGACATTTAGCACTGTACCTGATATAGTGTTCCATGAACAGTAGCTATTCCTAACTTTAGTTTTTCTCAGTTGATTCAGAAACTCTCTTTAGTGTATGAATTTAATATGATAAATTTAACATATATTTAAAAATCTTATTTGAAGGATTTTTTTTTTTTTTAGTAATCAGTATCGCGAGATCCCTGACTGGTTATTTTGTGGGGAAAAACGTGAAACAAAAGTATAAAGTAGGGGCTGGGAAGGTGGCTCAGTGGTAGAGCACTTGCCTTGCATGCATGAGGCCCTGGGTTCGATTTCTCAGCACCACATAAGCAAAAAAAAAAAAACAAACTGAAAATGGCGTTGTGGCTCAAGTGATAGAGTGCTAGTCTTGAGCTGAAGAGCTGAGGGACAGCGCCCAGGCCCTGAGTTCAGGCCCCACGACCGGACCCCCCCTCCCCCAAAAAAAAGTATAAAGTAATAGCTAAATAGTTACTGGTAAATTATAAACCAACCAGGTCTCAACAAGTTGTCATTTCAGATGTTACAAAATAAAACTTAATTGTCTCTGGTTACATACAGGATATGTTTGAAAAAGTGAATAAAGCATATGAATTTTTATGTACCAAATCAACAAAAATAGTGGATGGACCAGATCCAGAGAATATCATTTTAATTCTGAAAACTCAAAGCATCCTCTTCAATCGTCACAAAGAAGGTAAATCTTTGGTCTTGCAAATTTTTGATTTGTCCTCTAGCTAATTTCTACCCTGCTACTGTTTGTGTAGCATGCTCTCATAGGTTTAGCATCATTTTTACAGAAGATGCTTGAAATTTCTTTTTTTGACAAGGGAAAAAGAGTTTTTTTTCGAAGCATGATGAGTTTGTTATGCTTCTTGTTTTCCCCAGATTAACCTCTGTTTATTTCAGACTTACAGCCTTACAAATATGCGGGGTACCCCATGCTAATTAGAACTATCACCATGGAGACCTCTGATGACCTCCTCTTCTCTAAGGAATCACCGCTGCTGCCTGCGGCCGCAGAACTGGCTTTCCATACCGTCAACTGCTCAGCCCTCAATGCCGAAGAGCTCAGGAGAGAGAATGGAATAGAGGTGATGTGAACGGCCTTTGGGCTTACCTTCAACCTGCTTGAAGTATATGCTATGTCTCTTGAAAATAGAGACTCCCCCCCCCCCCCCCCCCCCCCCCCCCCCCCCCCCC